CCACTGATGGGCTGATGCTCATTGGGATTAACTTGCTGAGTTACTGAGCTATGTATAGCCTTAGCAAAGGGGGATTTTCATGAGGAACGTGTGGCAGAGAGTAGAATTGTTCATGAAATTACACTTTGCTTTGAGAAAATAATGACTCAAAAATGTGTGAAAATGAAGCACATATGACCTAGGGTGTGTTCTAAATTCCATTAAATAGTTAGTATTAATTCTGCTGTAGTGATTTAAAGAGTTCAGGTATTAAAAAAAAGACCCACAGTTTGAACCATGGGATTGACATTAGCTCAAACCTCTTCTTTCAGGCAATGGAATTTATTTTTTTAAATTTATTACAGCTCCTCTGGCTTATGAGCCATTCTCTACTCTTGCCATGATATATGAGGACCAAGGTGACATGGAGAAATCGTTGCAGTTTGAGTTGATTGCTGCACATTTAAATCCCAGTGACACAGAAGAATGGGTTAGACTGGCAGAAATGTCTCTGGAACAAGACAATATTAAGCAGGCTATTTTTTGCTATACAAAAGGTAATTAAAATATTTTCCTCACTTTGATGTTACATAATAGGTTTTTTGATAATTGCACTTGCTACTCTGGTTGTGATATTGGCTGAAATATATTTGTTTCTTATATTTTGTAATACCAGAGGTAAATATTTGGGGTCTCTCTGCTATCACGTTTATTAGTGACTTTTTTAATATTGTGAGATAATACAACATGAAAGTTGGTAGATGAAACCTTCAGTTTTCCACAGAGATCACTGTTGGTTCTGAGCTGTTCCTTAAGGGTTACTGTCAGAATAGAGTGACCAAGTGAAGAAGATTAATACGGAGACTCAGGTTCTATCTGGTCTTGGATCAAACCTAGTTGAGAGTTCCTGTCAAGATAGATTTATCCCAGAATAACTCCCTTGGTTCCATTGGAGAATTAAAGTGTTTGTTAAATTTTCTGAGATGGTGGGTTGCACCCGGGTATAAGGCATCCCTTTTTGTGATAATTTTATAATTTATATTTCTTTCTTTTTAGCTCTTAAATATGAACCTACTAATGTCCGTTATCTGTGGGAGCGATCAAGTCTTTATGAACAGATGGGTGATCATAAAATGGCCATGGATGGTTATAGGCGTATTTTAAACCTTTTGTCTCCATCTGATGGAGAACGTTTTATGCAATTGGCCAGAGATATGGCAAAGTGAGTTTTAAGTATATCTAGATGTTCTTATTTATCATCTTATTTTGAAAATCAAAGCATATATTTGAAATAGAATGTATTTTTCATTGAAGTTCAAGTAAGTGTTTTGCCTTCTGTATTTTATGTTGTGCCTCATTTTCAGTA